GATGAGCTGCAGCCAATCATGGGGTGACACGTCCGAGGCGGCGGTTGCCAGCCTTTATTAGGGGACGGGATTCTTGGCTCGGGGTCTCCGCTCTGGTAAGCTTATGCTCTCCTCTCAAGACGCATTAAAGCTTTCCTGCAGAAGGATCCGAGTGTCCCGTGTATGATTTCTTGCTGGCGAGAAATACAGAGCGCGCGGGACATACAAGAACACAATGTATGACTCTTCAGAGATTGGGTGCATGTGTTAAGAATTCAGATGTCTGTGTACTCTGCTCCTCAACCAATAAATCGAAGTTGTGAAAGTTAAAAAAAAAAAAAGGCAAAAATAAACTCAGGGGTAAACAGGAACCCCTGAACATCAGTGGTGGGGTCTAAATCAGTAGTCATTAAAAAACAATATGAAGGCTCCTTGAAAAACTACTGAAGTGAGCTGGGGTTGACTGACCTTAGCTATAGTGGTTAACAGGTCAGTGGGAGTGGTGGCTGGATCATGCTGGCCTCAGTGGGGTGTCTGGTTAATGGGGGCTTCTCCCCACATAGTTGCTCACCCTTTGGCTGAATAAAAGGCTCGCTGAGCTGGAGAGATGACTCAACAACTCAGAGTATATACTACTCTTGTAGAGGACCAGAGTTAGGTTTCCAGTACCCACTTCAGGTGGCTCACTGCCACCTGTAACACTAGTTTCAGGGGACTCAACATCCTCTTCTGGACTAAGTTTGTGTAGTTGTCCCGACCCATGGGACAGCAACCTAGGGCAAAATATCCAGGGAGGGGAATGGGGACAAGAGAAGGGGAGAGAATGACCACAAGACAGGATTCTGATCAAGTGGCAAATTTTATTTTTCTCAGGCTAGCTTATATAGTCAGTAGAGTAGGGTAAAGGGGAGGGGGAGAAGAGGCCAAGAGCCAGGTGTTAGTTCAAGCAGGATGTCAGAAAACTATAGAAGGAGGATATTAGCAGGGTAAAAAGTTCATGGGTGGTGGGGTGAGGGAGGGTTACCTAGGCAAATGGTGGTGCAAGGGAGGGTTGCTTAGGTCAGTGGGCCTGTGGTTGGAACAAAGGATTGACGTCTGGGTCATGTTGTTCCTTCTGGGTGCTCATGCTTCTAGAAGCCATTTATAATCAAAAGACAGTTCTATAACCGTGTGGCCTGCCGTTCTATAACCGTGTGGCCTGCCAAGTTTGGCCTAAAGGTTCATGTCAAGCTGTGTGGCTCCCAACATATTCCCCCTTCCTTGTATTAAAGGAAAAAGCCAAGTTTTGCAGCAGAGGGGGATTGAAGCCTGGCCCCTCAAGACAGGTACTCGGACCCATCCTGGGGGGGGGGGTTATAGGCTGATGTTCTTTTGTGGGGAGATGGAACATTGACCCCATTGCAGCAGGCTTTTCCTCAAAAGGTGTGATCTTAATCTTTCTGCAGTACCATCCAGGTCTGCACCTCTGAAGCTGGCCATGGGGGTCTTGAGGCTAGTTCCATGGGGGGGGGACAGCCCAAGGCGAGTAGTGTTGGGGTAGCCAAGGTCATCCTCCTTGGAGGAGAGTATATGGTAATGAACCTGAATAGGCCTAATGGCAGACTCTACCTGCTGTTTGATAAAGGCCACCAGTCTGTTGAAGGCCCAAGGGCCAAAGGATACTAATAGCAGAAATCCCACAAGGGGTCCCAGGAGGGAAGGCAGGAGGGTGGTAAGCCATGGGGAAGTGGAGAACCAGTTTTGGTACCAGGCCTCCTGTTGGTCTCTTGACTTTTTGACATTTTTCTAAGCCCTCTTTGACTCTGACCATGCTATCTTTAATGACTCCTGAATGGTTAACGTAAAGACAACATTCCTCTCTGAGGGCGGCGCAGAGGTCCCCTTGTTGGAGGAGGAGTAGATCTAGGCCACTTCTGTTCTGTAGAACTACCTCAGCCAGGGACTGTAGAGATTCTTCTAAGTAGGCTATCTGGTTTTGGAGTTCCTTAACATTTCTGTCTATAGTGGCACTGAGCTCAGTATAGCTGGATGAGGGAAGAGATCCCAGTACCTGCGCCTAGAGGACTGCAATTGTAACTGCAGATATAGGTTCCCTGCTGCTGCAAGGATGGGAAAGGGCAGAGGTCCCTTGGGATTGTTCCCAGAAGGGAAAGAATTCGTCAGGCTGGTAATAAGTGAGACAGGGAACAACCTGCACAAGAACACAGAATCCTACCTCCTCAAAGATATGGGTGTGGTAAGGCAGGGAGTGAGGCCATCCAGGCACGCCCACCAGGCATTGTTAGGAGGAATCAGTGGGGGCCAGGGTAAGGTTGCAGAGGTGAGAAGGGTTAAGGGAATTGAAAGTAGTGGGGGGGGGTGCCACACAGAGTCCAGAACCCATGAGCTGGCTAAGGGTGAGCTTGGAGGTGGGGTTTTTAGGAGGAGGAGAGGGGTGGCTATTTTATCTCAGCATGCCAGTTTTTCTCTTCTCCGTGCGTATCTCCAAACAGTCCAGCAGCCATCTTGTTTTATTGTTCTCCTGTAAGAAACACAAATTTCCTCCACCCCAAATTGAGTCTTTTTTACTGTTTAGTGTATAGGTTCTTTTTATTACTTTTGGAACTCCCATGTAAGGAAAACATTATTAAATAGTTACTTGTCACATGTTTAGAAATTTAAATATCTATCAATTGTCATGTGTATATATTTTAATTTGTCAAATTAGGAAGTGGACCTCTAGGGTTTATTACTAAATTAGTTACAGATAAACACTCTGAGTACACCTTATTGTTTGGCTAGCAGTCTCTCTAGTTAAACCAAATTGTTTTCTTAGAGCTTTTGTTATTTTAATGATGAAAGTTATGAGACTGTAGAGTTCTCTCTATCTAAGACAAATTGACCAATTTTATTAATCGATCTGTTGATTAATTCCCTTTAGCCAGTAGGTAGGGAATGGCCTGAATGGACTACCTAATGAGACCCATGAAACATGGCAATTTTTGTAGGTGAATAGTATTTTGAATTTGTTTAAATTGAAGGGACCAGCTTCCCTTTCGGCAGCCATAACAGCCGAACACA